AATGTTGTTGTCCAATGATATTTGGCACATCTCTGCACCACACAAAATTACTGACATTCATTCATTTGCTGATGCTGGCAGCATTGCTTTGGGTAGTGTGCTTTAAACGTATGTATTAACAGCTGGAGCATATCTGTGACTGCTTGTCTATAAACTATTGATCAGATTCTTCAATACCTGCTTGTTAATGACAATGAGGCCTAATAAAAGCACCATACACTTCTCTAGAGAGAGCTCTTCCCTGGATTGGACTGGAGATGTGTTAAGACTTGTTCCAGGTGCACTCACTGGGAAAATGCAGATTAATTTTCATTGCAAATAGTGTTTGACACTGACTCCTCAGGGATTTTGAGAACTATCAATATGCTATTGACCATTCCACTTTCTTAAGACCCAGTGAAAATAAAGAAATACACAGACGAATTTCAAAGCTTCTCTCCAGTAAATTACCCAGTTGGCAATGTTGTCTGTTTAGGCAGATCTCCACACACGTTCTGTTAGACAACCTGCCAAGTGCTGTGATGAACAGCATGGCTGTACGGAGCTGCATTCCCCTGTCCACCCTCTGTGTATACATTTGCTCCTTTTTGCACTTCCTAACAGTCTCCACATGTCCCATCGCTTTAGGTATAAGAAGACATTCAATTCCTTTCTCTACCTAGCTGTTCTCTGTAGCAGACTGCTTTGGTTAAAAAGAAAAAAAAAGAAACACTGGGAAAAACCCTGTCACCACATAGTCATAAAGTACTACCTAAGCAATTCAGTGATGAAAAAAAATGACATTAAATGCCTGTTTCAGAAACAAAAGGAGTAGGGGATAAAGCACACATTTGCCGCGTTCACAGCTCTCTTTGGGGAAATGAAGGGAGACTACTTCAGCTTCCATGCTAGGAGCAGAGCAGACCATTGGTAAAGAACCAGTAGCCAGATTTCTTAATTCTAAGTCCACAATAAGTTTCTCCTACAGCATGCTCTAAAAGAACTACCAGTTGTAAGTTGCATATATTACCAGTTACAAATAAAACTGTTCAACAGCATTTGACACCCTTTTTTTTTCTTATTTCAAATATTCTGGCAAAACACAAGCAAGCAGCAGAAATGACCATTTAAATAATGAATTGTCCAGCTGTGCAATTCATCACTTTCAGAAGAGCCACCTCACTGGCATCAGCAGGACTGCTTACATCCTGGTATTTGGCTAGTGATGAACAACAAGCAGGCAGTCAGCATACAGATGGAGAATTCTTGGAAACCTCTCCATATTAATCTTCCTGCAACACTGGTGCAGAATCCCAAAATGTACTCAGAGCAAATCCCATTGAGCTACAATAGGGTGTAAGAACCCAAAAGTGTTTTACCAAGGAGTTGGATAGGGCTGTCACCATTGATCGTGTGAGCTCCGAGATTACACCAAGGTCACGCTGATGGAGTTTCTAGATGGTTCACGCATACCTCTAGACTTTAGTTTCATTAGAAAACATCCACTGAGTTGCATTTCCTTCATTTGTCAAGACAGTTTGCCAAACGAAGCCAATGCTGGCAGTCAGAATTTGGATAGTAATTATCTGGGAGTACAGCTCTCATTTTTCACTTGTATAGTCACATGGCTAACACGGCGTGTTATGAACCCCATTATTATCAGCCCTCATACTGGCTTTTGACAAACGGCTCAGGGAAAAACACACTATTCAAGCTCTCAAGAACTGTGAATTAAGAAATATGGGGAAGCTTTAATGTTGTGCTGTATGTTACATGCTTTACCCAACCGCAACCAGTAGACTATTCAAAAAGCATCTATATCCCACTTCAAAGGGGATAAGGTGCCTAACATCTGCAACTGCATCTGCAAATTTGCAGATGCAAATATTATTCTGTCTTTCTGCCTATAGAAGGAGCAGTTAAGACTCCTACACAGACGTTTTTTCAGTTTCCTGAATGTCACTGGCATGTCAGGTCTCTCCATGCCTTGACAAGTTGAAACCAACATCCTAGCTTCGATGGTACAACAATTTCATGCAAGGCCTGTTTTAAATTTCGATGAAGATTCGGTATCTTTTCACAAAACTAGCCCTACAGCATCAGCCAGACATCTGTACTGCCACGTATGACCCTCCTCTGCACATGATGGCCAAACTTTTTCTATTGGCCTTCACGCTTCTTCACACTTCCTCCCGTTTGGCAAAATCACTGCTGTCTGTCAAACTCCAGTTACTTTCTTCTCTGAATAAAGAGATTCACTAAAAGGCTACTATCTAAAAAGCAGAATGGTGAAAGTTTTGTTGTTAGACAGAGATGCTGCATTTCACACTGAAAAGAAAAACTGATGATTGAATCTAAGCTGCATATTAAGGGACTTCTAGCGCACTTGTTTGGCTTTCTAAAGTGTATGCAGCCTAGTAATCCTAACCCAAAGACTGCAAGGCTTTGAAATGAGAGTATATCTAAGACATTTAGATTGTACTTTGTCTGAAATTTCTTTATATTTCATATGAAAAAATAAATTGTAATTGAGGTAACTACAATAAAACATTTGTACACTCAAGTTTCAATGGATTTTTACATCTTAAAAAAGCAAATGTAGTTTGAAATATTGCTTGGCTGTTTTTGCAGGGCAAGGCCTAGAGGAAACAGGGTGGAATACGCAATGTATGTATGATGTTTTTTCAAGGCTCTTGGAAACAGAGCAACTTACATGTGTAATAGAGCCCCAGGAATGACTGAATAAAGAATGACAAATAACTTCAGATTTGTTATGACAACTCTGACATAATAGCACTGTGCAATTTTTTTTTAACTGCGCCTGACGCAGCAACACTCTCAGGAAGAACAGCTGCTTAACTATTTCACTGCAAACAAGACTATACAGTCGAGGATCATGACAACACCAGTCAACATCAACAACAGTTTCCAATATTATTTGAGATACATAGAATAGTTTACATTTCAGCTGCAGCTTTCTGAATGGGGAACATGGTCTGGGCACACGCCCCCCCCCCCAGCCAGTAGGCTGGGTGTAAGCTGGTATTTGTAGGAAAAGTCCGACTGAATCAAAAATTACTAATGGGGCTCCTAGGTAACTGGGGTCTATCTAAACAGCAAATTTCAATTTATAAATCACATCAAAGGAATTACAGATATGCAATGACATACATCACTTTGGAGCAGACATTTGTGATAACTATCTACCAATTTCTTTGAAAACATTTTTTCTAACCTAATTTTACCCATACGCAATATAGAATCATAGAATCATAGAATCATAGAATAATAGAAAGTTTTGGGTTGGAAGGGACCCCTAGAGGTCATCTAGTCCAACCCCCCCGCAGCGAGTAGGGACACCACTAACTAGATCAGGTTGCTGTAGAAGGAAGTAAAATTCTAACATGAACAAGGAGTACAGCAGTCAGATGATTTTCCAGAACATAAAAATCCTTCACTTGATTGCTTTCAAACCACCTTCAGTTGACTTTCGGTATTTTTCTCCACAATTAATTCTGCTACCATGCTTTGGAAAATCTGACACAGTGTCAATAATTAGATGCCAACCCCTTAGAGCTGTGTGAAACTTGGCGGTTTCACTTTGCAGGAGGGGAGGCAAATATTTTATTTGGTGTCAGTCCACACATGTTCCCTCTCCACCACTTTCACTTTGGGTTTTGACTTTTGAGTAAGTCCAAACAGGCAAACAAATAAGCATTCAAAATTTCTATATTTTACCTGGTTTCACTTCATGACCATGCAAATAAAAACCAGGCAGGTGTATCTTCATGAATCAACAATGGAACAAGTTACATGTTCAAATGCAGAAACCAATACAAGAAAACATCTATCATGTGATTATGGTGATTTACACTCCTCTAGCCACCCAAAAAACACACTCTCCCTAGCGCCATCACTGTTTGTATTCCATATTCTGTGAAGTGCTGCAGGCATGTGCATTTGTGTTGCTATCTAACAGCCCAAAATGAGAATAATAGTAGCAATAATTGTTTTTGTTTTAAATCCTGCCAGCATTTTACATCATCCCAGATGCCTTCTACTCTTTCCATCTACCCCCAAATATCTTGGGATTGCAGCTCACTGGATCACCACTGCTGTTGTCAGCATGCCCGATTCTGGTCTTTATCTGGTGAAAATCACAAGTGATCCAACAGAAATTATAGCAGGTGAAATTTATTCTAAACAATTCTGTATGCCACAGAAGAAATAACCATTCACAAGGTCTGACTATATTAACATTTCCGCTGAGAACATACTCATTGTGTACTTCTATGGAGGAACTGAAATGAAAGAAGGGTATGGAGTCCCGAATCCAAGTAATTACACGTACCACATGCAGGAAGTTGCGAGTTAGAGAAAAAAGGCCAAAGGCATGAGAGGAACGAAAGAAAAGGAATAATGAAGATGAGAAAGCAGGCATAAAATATTGGTAGATGTAGGAAAGACAGAACAGTCTGAAAACAGAGATGTAGAAGATAAGGAAGATAACACAGATGAGAAAGATAACGTTAGAATATAGGATGGGAATGAAGAACAAATGGATTACAGATGGACTGGGACACAGATGATGATACAGGCAAAAGGAAGGAGAGTGAGCATGCAGGTAACTAATTACAGGCACAAGGTAACTAATTATAGGCACACATTGAAGACCGAGATAAAATTAAGGATGGAGATGAGAAAAGTTGAAGAATGGCATAAGAATAAATAGGAGATTCAAAAAAGAAAGGTATAGGACTGACAGAGTGTATCTGGAAACGGGACAAAGAACCAAAATTTTACAGGGTAGAGGCATAAGTAGGATTTGAGACACATTATGAGTGGGATAATAGAAGTATGAATGGCAAAATGGTTAAAAATAAGGATAAGTACAGAGGTAGGACTGCAGAGGATATGCAAAACAGAAGACCTCAGAAGAGGGATGGGAGTGAAAAGCAGCAGATGCAGCTGACACTTGGATGGAGACCTTGGTGCTACCCCTGCATGCAAGGTCACCTTACCAATCCACCACAGGTACTGAAGGAGGCGAAGGAGCCCGGGTAGCGGAGGACAGCACCACTGTAGTAACAAGCTCTCTCAGGTTGCAACGGTGCAGCACCGGGTGGGCTTTTGCCCTCACCCCCGAGCCGCTCCTCCACAGCAAAGCCAGCTGCCAGGAAGCGGCTGTCCCTCTTGAGCAGCAGGTAGAGCTCCCGAGCAAAAGCCGGGATCCTCAGCAGCACCTCATCTCCGTCCTCTGCTGGAGGTGGTGGCGGGGGTGATGGTGGTGGCGGTGGCAACTGAGAGGCAGCACCAGACCCTTGGGGCAGGGGGGACCAGTGGTAAAACTCCTGAGACTCATACTCATCCTCAGCATCCTCTTCCTCTGCTGCCTCCCCCACAGCCTGCGCCTGCCCCTCCACCGAGGAGGAGACTGAACGCACCTCCCGGCGCAGCCCCCACCACCGCCGCTCCCAGCAGCCGGCTCCTGCTGGCCCCTGCTCCACAGCGCGGGGAAGACAATCTCCCACTCCTCCGTTTCTTCTGAAGCGTGGAGACCTGCGGGAAGGCCAGCAGACGCTTGAAATGAGTGGAGCACACAGCAGCACACAGTGCCTGCCAGAAACCTATCCCATGCCCTCCCACGACACGCTCCTTCTGCCTCCCAGCCCACCAGGCGTGCCACCCAAAGTACAGCGGGCTCCATTTGGCCCTTTCACCCTGTCCTTACGCACGGCGGACGGGCCAGCCGCTACGCGTCTCTGTGCCCGTTCAGGGGTCTGGGGCACACCACGGCCATGGTAAACACTGAGCGAGAGCTGCAGCTCAAGCTGGGCAAAAATGGTGTTTGTACCAGCAGCTGGGGATGTTCTTCGCCGTGGCCACCGCCCCCACGCCAAGCAGAGCTGCACAAACCTCTCACCATTTAGACAAAGTGGCAGCTTTCTCCTACAGCTAAAAAAACCCTATTTTATTGTAGCAGGGGAAACCTGAACAAAAATAATTGAAAATTTCAACCTTGTTCCCAGCATGTTTGGCAAGCCCCACTGCGATCTCGACAGGGCGGCCAAACGCACGCACGCCCCACGGCAGCACATTCGCCGGCGCACGCAGGAGCGGCAG